AACGTAAAGAAAAGACCAGAACTAAGGTGAAACAAAACAGGAAATAGTGTCAAAATAAAAGCCAGACAGGAAGCAGTGGAACCGAATCATGACACTCGGACGTTGCCCGGGTCAACAAGGTCCACGTCAGGTGTTGGGACACCAGGGCAACCTGATGAGAAGTGGGCGACTGGAACAAGACATTCATGGACAAGAGAGGAGAACAGGGAACTATTGGAATGCTACTATACAAGCACTCCCAGTGAGAGGGGTTACATGTGGAGGATGTGGGACCTATGGATACCTTGAAACCCAATATGTACCCTAACATCGAAGCAACTTGTAGCTCACACCACTAGGATCTACAGCCAGGACATCGGAATGTCATTCGGACTGGATAAGTGTGGCTGAATGGTAACGAGGAGAGGGAAGGTAGTCAGAACTGAGGGGATTGTACTACCAGAAGGCAACATAGCAGATGTTGAGGACAGCTACAAGCACCTTGGGATCCCGCAGGCAAATGGGAACCATGAAGAGGCCGCAAGGAAAGCAGCAACCACCAAGTACCTGCAGAGTGTAAGGCAAGTCCTGAGAAGCCAGCTGAATGGAAAGAACAAAGTCCAGGTGATTAACACCTACGCCCTGCTGGTCATCAGATACCTCACTGGCATAATAAGCTGGCCAAAGGAGGAGATAGAGGCCACTGACATCAAGACAAGGAAGCTCCTTACAATGCACGGCAGGCAAGGTAAAATGTATTTGTGTTATGTTTAGGTGTGTTGGCTACAAATATTCCACCACAGGTGTACTTATGGCCAACGAGTGATATTTTAAGATACAAAATAGAATTTTCTCCTTTAAATTATTTTCAGTGTCAGAATTCGTAAAGTCATTCTGGACCGCAGAGAAATGTTATTGGTGCAAAGTACTTTGAGTATTTTTTATTTCAAAGGGAAATACTGTATTTTTTTATTTAATACACACACACACCATTTGTAATCATCTCACAGCCCCTCTAATTTATCTTGTGACCCTTTGGAGCGACCTGAACCCTAGGTTGGGAACCCATAGACTATAGGTCAAGCAGGTAGAGCAAGCACTGGCTTATATTTTAATATACCAGTTGTCCCAATCTCCTAATGTCACACATTAAATACTGGTGACAGGTGCACGTTTAGTCGCAGTAGTTTACTTTTTACTTTTGACACTCGAAATACATTTAATTTGTAACACACAAGCAGTTTTGATTTTACTGGTGTTTTACTTAAAGGCTCTGAGTACTTCTTCCGGTACTGAATCTTACGGACGTGTCTGATGCAGCCACGAAGAGCAGCAACAACAGTTTGTGTGTAGTTGCAGATGTTGTCCTCTGGGTGGCGTCCTGCCGCCATCTGTACTGCTGGTCTGTCCTTCAGGCTGCGTGGTGGAGCCCATTAACTTCATCCGTTAGTGCACATGATGCGCATTCTCTGGTTTGGTTTGATGTATTTGTCCAAACGCACTTTTCCCTCTCCATCGGGTCCAGGATCATGCTGACCCTGCTCAGACCGGAGACCAGCTCTGTGACCCGGGAACTTGACGGGTCCCTGAGACTCCCAACAGCCTGGGTTCGGCTGCTGCGATGAGCCTGTGACGCAGGACACCCGCGCCGCACCACATCGCGCACTTCGGAGCCCCTAGAAGCGAAACCAGACGCGCGTCTGCGATTTCAGCCTTTTCCACAAACCGACGTGAACATGTGTTTACTGTGTGGATGCTGATATCTGAGTGCTGCCCGTGGGAGAACAGGGGGACCCGAGCTCCGTCGCGTCACCAGCCTGCAGTTTAGAGGAATTCACCCCGTCTCTGAGGACCACGAACGGCTTTGCTCTGCAAAAAAGTGGATTTGGATTTGATATGGTTTTATTTTGAATGGATGCTGATGCGGGGCTGGATCAGGTGAGCGTTTGTGCGATGTAACAAAACAGCTGGACATAGAAACATCTGGCTGACTTGTGACACCGAGAGGAAACACCTGCTCCTCCTGCGGAGAGGAAGGTACCTGCACACATCTCGGTGTTATAACTGAAAAGATTTAACAGGTTTAAAATTTTTCATCAATTATCAAGTAAATGTCAGGAGGTCGATGATTAAAACACGTTTTTATCAGCCTTATAATCCGTCTTAAGTCTTGGGAGGGGGCCATGTCCGAGCTAGGAGTATTCACTGAGGGGACCCCGATAATTGTCTTGTAAATCCACCTGCAAAACCAATCAATACATTAGTAAGTCGGTCAATATCGATCAGTCACGAGGCACTCAGCCTACGGGGTCTCGGATCTCGGCTCACTTTCAGGGTTTTCCGCTGATTCTGCTGGAATGCAACTTGAGCTCGTGCTGATTCCTCCATGCGCGTGCATGTATGTTCACCAATAGTGTTTAAAAATCTAAACGTCAGTCTGCATGTGCACGTAAGAAGGTGCATGTGTGCTTGCCAGTATTTTACACCTGTGTGCGATGTGCAGTGTGTGTGCGCGCGCGCCCGGAATAGATCATAATTTTAAAAGTAACGTACTTGTGCTCGTGCATGTACGGAGCCGTTTCCTACGTACACGCGGCTGGATTATTTTTGTCATTGGCGTGTATGTGTTCCCCTCGGGGTTTGCTGCTGTAGTTTTGTGCGCGATGGAGATGAAAACACGTGTGTGCGCAAGTGTTTTTTGCGAGTGTCTAAGAGTTTAGATGAGGTTCACTCCTGTGTGCGTTCGCCTGAGACTGAAAGAGAAATTCCGTTTGAGAAATGAGATGGCGACGTGCATATATGGAGAAAACTGAGATTAACGGTGGAGAACGAGCGTTGTACCCGGAGAAGTGGCAGAGAGAGGTGGAATAAGGAAAGAAAGACGTCTTTCTCCTGCGGCGTCCAATAAGAGCCGAGTGACTTTATTCACTTTCTACCAGACGCTGACATTTACAGCGGAATGCAGTAGAACCGTCAGACAGACGTTCATTTATAGACCAAGCGATTCAGTGATGGTGAGAATCGTCAGCACATTAATAATGACAGTAATGGTTAGTCCCATAGTCCCAGCTCTTCCAGCTGGCCCCGGGCCAGAGTCGGGGTCCACCCTGGACAGGTCTCCAGTCCATCACAGAGCTGACATGTAGACAAACAACCACACAGGAGTGATGTAGAGTTACCAGTCAACCTAAGCTGCATGTCTCTAGACTGTGGGAGGAACAGTCTCCACACAGAAAGGCCCCGGGTCAGCCGGGGCTCGAACCCAGAACCTTTTTGCAGTGAAGTGACAGCGCTAACCACTGTGTCACCCTGTAAATAAACAAACTGTATAAAATAAGCAAAGCACTCAGTGCTGCTACTGGTGACCTGAGACTATGTTACAACAATACTAGTGATTAACAAGCCAGTCTATGAGGATGTCAGTAACGTGAAACCAGCATTTAAAACAGGACAACACCTCAACCTCAGGCCCTCCCAATGTAAAGGGGAGTGTCAGTCCTTCTGAAGTTCACAATCATCTCCATCTTTCTGATGATGATGGAGTGGTTGTTCTGTACCAGGCAGTGACGTGCGGTCAGGGGAGGCAGGTGAGGCAGAGCCTCCCTTGTCAATCTTGAAAAAAAAAAAACAGTTAACCATAAAATATAATAAATGTTAATATTTGTCGGCTGGTGTGTGTTGTAGGCCCCTTTACTGTTCGAATCCGATGTTGAAGGAATTTTTCATTAAAGAATAGCAGAATTTTCGTATGTCCCGTTCAAATACATGGAGGTGATGCGCGATGATGCAGCACTTTGCTGTGCCTCTCGGTGGATCGTGTAATCCTCACAAACTGTTTGCGATGCCAATAGTGTGTCGCTGTCCCTCTATATATCGTAAATAAAATGCTTTTCAAACACTCTGATTATATGCTCTGCCTTGCCATAATCTGGATAATGTATAAAATGTAGTTCTGTAACGTGTTTAGGCTCGCAGATTAACCATAAAACCCAGTAAAAAAGTTACTCGGTGAGGCAAACAGTATGCCTGCCTCAAGGCAGAGGGCGCTAGTGAGCCCACAGATTCTTGCGCTACCTACAATCTTCTTCGTGCTTGTTTATTTCCTTTACAATCCGCCTTATCAAAATGGAAGATTACATTTCCAAGATGAGAAAATTCGCAAATCTGGACTTTCAATCAAAACATTTTTGACAGTCTGGACACTTTTGTCCAGAAG